AAAGAAGGGCACTCAAGTCTTTTTCAATAAGTCAATAATATAATAATAGGTCTGGCCGAATCAAGGGATTAACTTTTTTCCCTAATTCGAACCAGCCTTTCTCTCTTTTCTTCTTTCCTCTCCTACTTCTTGCTGTCTACTTTACTCTACAGTCAACGAACAAGACAGAATTCTATGGCAGGTCAAACTTCAACACAAACCATTAAAACAAATTCCAATCCCACTTACACAGAAAAGATGACTTGAGTGACACTTCCAACATCCATGTTTGTTTGATGATGTCATCAAATTTTCATGCATGCATGTAACTACAGTCAATGTTTTAAAAGGTGTGGGAGGTGTATGCCTGGAGGCACGCCTCCAGGTGAGGCACCCCTAAAACACTCTGTGGTGCATGCGGGAAGTGCTTATGCTTCTGAGGACTACGCCTCGAACAAATTCAATGCATTTTAATTGCAGATAACAAGAATAAAGGCTATTACCCAATGTTGGTCCTAGTTATATACCTGGGGTCTTGAGGGATGTGGAATGGATACAGAGCTTACTTTTGGCATTTTTTTGGGCACAAAGTGGCTGTTTTCAGACTTGATCCCACATTCTCGTACTTGTCAGCCTGAAATTTTACTATTATACCAAGCAATGGCCCCTAATTGCAGATAATGAGAATGCAGATGGTAAAATGAGTAAAAAGGCTGAGCAAGGACTCCCCTTCTTGTCTGTGTGTGTGTGTGTGTGTGTTGGGGGGTGGGTGGGATTGAGCTGTACTACCTAAGATTCTCCTCTATCAGCATTTAGTTTGATGAATTTCTTGAAAAACCGAGTAGAAAACAATAACCAGAAAATAAAAAGAAGAAAAAAGATGACTCAGTGTAGTTGGACAAAATGCCTACATTCATGAGAGTGAGACCAATTTGTGTTCTATTGTCAAGGAAAATAAATATGATAAGACAAATATATATGGGGACCTAGTCCATGAATCATGTACGCCCATTCTATCTCACTAACACAGGACACAGTCTCTCCCTCTCTCTCTGTAAAACAATTGGCCTTTACAACAATCCATTTCCTATAGGAAACTTCTCCCAAAAGGCAACTAGAGGCTAGGACAAGGAAGCCTGACTAAAACTTGCAATAATACCCACAACAACAATATCCTGAGACAACTATTACCAAAAAATACATTATTTGGCAATTGTAATCTTACCAATCTATTGGCCTTCCCTTGCAACCCATTAACCAACATTTTTTAACCACCAATAAGAATGTGGTTGGTTGGATTATCTGAACCCAGCCACATTGAGTTTGGCCTAAGAGAATTCCTAGGTCAGACATAAAATGATAGATTTCCATCCTAGACTGTGTAAGATATGTTTAAACTTTAAAGAAAAATTTATTATGACATGAGCAAATCAAATTTAATAAAACATGCCAGGTAGAACAAATTTGAATACCTGAAAATCCATTTCTTCATGGAGATATGCCAAGCCACGAGCAGCATCCTGTGCTATTCTCAGTCTCACGGCCCATGGAAGAGGTGCTGTTGAGTGAGATGATAAATGGTCTTCAACACTTCTATTTGGCATATATTCATAGACTAGAAGCCTCTGGATCCCCCTTTCATCATCCTCAGCACAATAGCCTATTAGCTTGACAAGGTTTGGATGTTCAACCACTCCAAGGACATTTACTTCCGTCACCCATTGCTTGTGCCCCTGATTGACAAGAGGTCAGATAATAATTAAACAATTTCAAGAAATCTTAATAATTAATGGTAAAATTATATTATCGTGGCGCATAGGGTTGAGACAAACTCCAGCAAATTAAGAATTAAGATCAGCCCTTTGTTATTTAACCCAGAACCCTCGTATCAGACCTGCAATTTGGTGGGTCCAAAATCCTCAGCCCACCAGTCTCCTGTCCTTTGGTATTCAACCTCCTATCCTTTTTTTTTGGTAGAAACCTCCTATCCTTTTGAGTATATATACTTAATAAAAGCAGTTACCGGCTACCTGAGGATCTTCAAGGATTGGAAGCTGTGCTACCAATACTGATCCACAGCAACTTAAACCCACTCTGTGGTTGCACTTCCATTGCACCCTTCACCAATTACATCTACCATGATCCCCCCAAACCACATTAATCTCAATCAACTATTTGGAATCAGCCCCATCTTTTTTTTTCGAAGTTTAATTGATAATAGTAGCTTCCTGAAGAGGCAGTAGTTAAGTACTATCTACATTAGATAGAAATGCATATTTTAAATTATTTAGAGCACTAAAATTAAGAAAATCAGGAAGAAATCTTGCCTGCAATCCTCTCCTGCTCAGCTGTTTGACAGCAACGTCAAGTCTGACATTTGGCTCTTCAGAGTTCTTGATCACACCCCTATAGACACATCCAAACCCACCCTCCCCAACCATAAGGGAGAGGCTGAAATTCTTTGTGGCTGTCTTTAGCTCTGAGAATGTAAACACCTTGAGATTGTTTGACCTCTGAGACAAACTTGGGAACGTGGGCCTCCCCATTGATTCACTGCTCATTTCTGAGATGTTCTCTGAATTGAACTCGGACCCAGATCTCCTCGCCTCACGATCAGTGGAAGTAGAAGACCGAACTGATATGGACTTTGTAGTCCTCGGTTCATCTTTCCTCTCTCCACTAATAAAATAGAAACACTTCATAGGCCCCCCAAGAACAGAAAAAACTAGAACACCAATTTCCCCTCTGCACATCCAAAGGTTGAAAAGGAGAGAACCTCAGAACCATGAAACAAGGAAAATCAAGACCTAAGAAGCAAAGCATTATCTAGAACTACCCTTATTTGCTAAAATTCGGTGACTTAAGTGAAGATCAAAAGAGATTGTCCTCTTAATTACCAGTGAATAAACTATGTACCTTCAAAATTACCTACAAAATGTATACTGGCTTTTCTGAGGAAAACACACCTCCTTCACTAACTCAATTTCCATTCCATGAATCACATTAGAATGTCAAGGAATCATTTTAAGATCAAATAGAAATAGCCTCCTACTTCTCTGAGGAAAAAAAAAAAAACCTTCTTTTTAAAGTTTTTCTTCAGAAACCACGTTCTACAAAAATTGTAAGAATTAATAAAAAACTCTACTTTTCAAATGAAATTCGTTTTATTGTTTACCAGCCCGATCTTAGATTATATAATAAGAGATTACGTATTCCATATTTTGGACAACCCCAATCCCAGAAAACTCATTCTCAGACCTGCCAAATGCAAATTTGAAGAGAACAGATTTAAAGAAAAACCTCACCTTTTTATCTTCCCAGGCAAATTCAGGAAACTCTTCTCCTCAGTACCTCCCCAGAAAACAGCTTGAGAGGTTTTAAGAGAACCCAGAATCCAGAAAGGCTTCAGAAACTACCGAGCAACGAGCATGATCGAAGAAAAGTCAACAGACGGCAGCTGGCAGTCAACTCACCAGACACCAGCCCAAAATGGATAAAAAAAGGAGAAACCATGGATAAGTTTGAAAACGAAGCTAGCAGGAGCTTTCTTAACCAAGGATGAATAATGGACGTGAAAGTCTATATAACTCACCATAAGTTTTTAACCTTTTCCTTAAACTCACCACAACTTTTCAAAATGTCTAAAATTCACCATTTCACTAAATTTTTATTTTTCAAAACTCACCTTCGGTTAGTGCACCCTAATGATTCTTAATAGAGGTATTCATATCAGCATAAATAATAATTTTTATGACCAAATTACCCTTGAATGGCGAGCCAGGGGAAAAATGGTCTTTTCAGTTCTCAATTTTTGTTGTTTTTTTTTTTTGCATTTTTAGTGTTTTGTTATAATTTTCAATATTTTTTATAATTTCTGTTTTTTTACATTTTCTATTTTCTACAATCTATAAATTTTCCTGTATTTTTTGTTATTTATTTGCAATTTCTGTATTTTTCTATAATTTTTGGTGTTTTTTCTACAAATTTTATTTTTTGATTTTGTTTTTCAATTTCTATAGTTTCTATAATTTGAAAATATTTTTTTTGCAACTTCTATAATTTTTTATAATTTCTATGTTTTTATGTATTTTATATTTGAAAATATTTTTTGAACTTTTTCCTCTTTTTTTCATGTCTAAATACTATAATGGCAATATATTAACACATGTTAATTTATTTTGTATATATTTTATATTTTTCTATGAAGGTTAAAATGGTAATACATTAACACCCGTTAGTCTTTTTAACGTCAAGTTAGCGACATGGTGAGTTTTAGACATTTTGAAAAGTTGTGGTGAGTTTAAGAGAAATGCTGAAAATCATGGTGAGTTTTAGATAATCTCCCATAATGGAAATATAAAAAGTTCACCCTTGCATTGGAAACCTCTCCCATGAATAATAAATATAAATACGAGAAATATTCTCGATGTACGACCAATGCTAGGAGGTCGGTGTGAGGGGCGCTGTGTAAGGAGCAGATACGGCCTCTGAAAAAACCACTCTTTCATCTTTTGTTCTTGGTTGGATTCTCCACTTGATCAAAAGTTCTGAGATAAGTTATATGCTTATCTTTCATGCCTATGTGTCATATTAGATTTATTTATCGTTAACATTCTTTTTGTTGTCTTCTCTTTTGTTGGATTATTTGGGAATTTGCCACGTGGGAGCATGATGAGATCGATCTATTTTCATATTTTGCTTTCATCACCAGCATGACAAATCCACTCTTGCTACACTTCGAACTGTCACAACTCAGAAGTTCAAACAAATTACAGGAAAAATTGCAGCGTCTATCATCTCCATTAAATGAACACCTGTAGCTGTAGTAAGGGCTATAGAGCCCAGGTCCGGACCTGGTTCCCCAGACTATGACTTTATCATATATAATTAGAATATGTATTATAAATAATTTAACACGTGTATAAATAAGTATTGATAAGTGGTATTTGGATTTGGGACAAAATAAGTTAGATGATAAAATGCATAAATTATCAAATACCCATTTGATTTTTTTTTTTAATTCTTGCCCTTTTTCTTAAATCTTATTTGACCAAAAAATATCTTCATTTTCTCCAAATGAAAATATAACTCCACTTTCTCCCTTTTTTTGTTAAATCTTCATTTCAATGACATTGAGTGTTTTTCTTTATCTTAAAATATAAAAAATATTATCTACTCCTTTTTCCAATAAATAAAAAAAATCAAAAGAAATCTTAAAATTATATGTATTGGAAAGAAACTTCTACCATTTCATCTAAATATTGAATCTATCCAGAAGTATGTAAGTATCCATTGGAGCAAGTGAGAGGACTTCAATATTATACTAATCAATAATAAATCATCCGAATAAAAAAAATGGTAATTTGAGAGGATCTTTTTTGAAGTTATATGATGAAACTCTAACAAAAGGGGGTAATTGTCCAAAATGAAAGTTCAAAGGATAATTAATTATTACTAACCCGATATTACAAGGTCTTTATAATACGCACACACACATATATATACATACATATAGATATATATATATATATATATATATATATATATATATATATATATATATATATATATATATATATATANTATATATATATATATATATATATATATACTCTAGTAAACATGTACGTGCATTTGCACGTGACAGTATCTCCAAGACAAAACTATTTATAATTTCATGGACAGTTTTTGAACAGTTATAAGTGGGCAGTTTCTTAACTGTTATAAGTGGACAGTTTTTGAACTGTTATAAGTGGACAGTTTCTTAATTGTTATAAGTAGGTAGTTTTTGGAGTGAGAGTAAAAGACATATATGCCATTTTTTATGCCCGTTGTATGTTGCTTAGATAAGAGGTAAAAATGTCTAATGAAAAGTCCATAAAATGGGGCTATTTGCGCTTTTATTAGTAGTATAGATTAAAAGAATGAAGTCTACAAATTTTCTCCTTCTTTTGAATTTTTGATTTTTTAAAAGTCACGTTAATATAAAATTTACGAATCAAACTTCTCTATTGTTGGCCACATCTAGTGACTAGAGCGATGTTGCATCATGATTGTAGGAAACCAGCTATATCACGTCCCATGCCTCTCCTAATCGTGTTCAACTAGGAAACTAGGTTACTTTGAAACTCTTTTTTTTTTTTCTCTCTCTCTCGTTATTCTAATGATAAGAAACCAGCAATGTTGAAGGTTTCTCCCATTCGTTGGACGGAAACAGAACTCAGTTTTATTCTATCAATTTTCTCTTCTAAACTCGATTTTAATCTATCAGTTTTTTTCTCTTTGTTCCAAACCTAATTTTAATTTATCAGTTTTTATCTATGTTCTAAACCTAGTTTTTAAATTATCCCTTTTAATCTACCCGTCTACTTGTCCCTTTTAAATTATTGTTTTAGAAGAAAAGTAAAGTAGGGATGGAAGACATTGCTTTGGACAAGAAACATAGTCGGAAGGACATCACTTTTTATCGTGTTTCTCCCATCGTGTTTCTCCCACCTATTCTCTCTCTTGGATCATTCTGAAAAGGCATGTATTCTGACCATCGACTTATTTTCCTCCATGTATAACATATTTTCCAATGATTAGAATGGCTAGCGCTATAAACAGCTTCAGGCGATCAAATGGGTCGCTTTTGCTATAAAGAATGGCCGATGGCATTTGCTTTCCTTCGTTCATATTGTTCTTTATTTCCTTTCGGCAATACACTATTGGTTTTGTGAACCCGTTTCGTCAAGCGGGTGAAGAAGACAATCAAAATGAGTCAAATGTGACCCATTTTCAATCAGCCTGCTTAGATCAGTTATGATGTGGATTCTTGGGTTAAGTTTTAAAACTTACTTATATTTACACTAATAACTGACATAATGACACTGTTCTTTTGAGACTGAGAGAGGCATAAAGAGACATTTATAATTTATTTTCTCAATATACCATGCATTGAATGGTAAGCATACCCTTTTCATCATTTGTATATTTTATTTATTTATTTTTGTTTTGCAATTATAACTTTGCAGGTTATTGAATTTGAATAGGACAAATCTATAATTAGATTGGAATCAAAATAAAAACAAAAGTTTCCAACTCAGGTTATTGAAGTGAGATACTTTTTTTTTTAACTTGAAAGAGAAATTTTAGATATTATGGTTTTTCATTTTATATTTTCTTTTTGATATTCTATACTACACATTAGGAATTGGGGGTGGAGCTGGATTGGGTACAAGTGAGGAACCATAATAAATATTAAATCAAAACAAAACTAATTATACTAATTAAACATGTTAAGCTGTATTAACATGATATTATAATTTAAATTCCCATCTAATTATAACCCACAATTTATTTAGAATGTTTCCTTTATAAAATTTTAAAATTAATTATTAAATGTTTTTAATTTTTTAAATAATTTTATAAAATTAAATTAATAACATAATTTTACTTAATAAAATAAATTATAAATTTAATTATTACAGTCATTATTCAAATTAAAAATTAAGAATTTATTTATAATTCACTAATAGAATATTATTTATTAATTAAAAATTATCATTAACAAAATTCAAACTTAAAATTCCATTCACTATAAATTATTTTAATATAATCATAGTTCTTTTAATTATTTTTAAAATATTAATGAACTTCAAAACTTATATATGCATTAATTTAAATCTCATTTTAAATTTATTATTTATTCTTTAATCAATTAAACTTAAAGTTTTTAATATAATTATTATAAATAAAGTTTGAAATGCCATAGCCAACTTTTACATTTATTTGGTTCAACAAAGCCCATGCATCAAATGGGTCCTGATGATGCACAATCCAGCCGATCTTAGCTGTCAACGATCTTGCCTCTGAACCGGGTGGCAGGGACCTGAAACGGAGGGAGAAGAGAAGCTCCGGGGAGAACCCAGTGTAAGGGCTCCGAAGCTCAAGTTAGAGTCTTTCAAAGGCAAGATAGACCAGATAGCGCAAAAGTTAGCATACCTCGTT